GGGAAAAGGAAATGCTTTTAACGCTGATGAACTGTGGTCCCGACATTCCTGTGTTACCTGCCCCATGTTTCATTTTCTAATGAGTAGAATCCTCCGCCTCTATCGTTACCACTTTTCTGCCGAAGTTAAAATGAAAAATATTATTCTCAGTATCATGCCCTACTTCGATGTGATGGGATCAAGCTGTAATTGGTGTTTAGGAACAAGCTATGATAAAATAGTAAGATATCAAGCATCTGCACTCAAAGTTCTCAAAGCCTCCATGGCATTTGGGGCACTCTTAAAGATCATTCTCTTTCTGTTTAGCCAGCAAATATCCTCTTGGATGAACACGGACACGCAAGGATCTCCGATCTTGGTCTTGCCTGCGATTTTTCCAAAAAGAAGCCTCATGCGAGCGTGTAAGTAATGCGTCAACTTCGGTTCACCATCGTTTCTCTCATGCCCCTTCAAAGGCGTGGCCATTTGTCACCACCAGTGGTGATTTTCAGTATGTCGGGAAGATCCAACATCACAGGTTGTGGGAAAGGAGATAAGAACGGGGAGCCTTCCTCCCTGTCTGCGGAGAGCAGGAATTAACCCACAGTGCAGTTGAACCTGCTCAGGCACCAGGGTGGCCTCTAAGAAACAATCAGGACCTCAGCAAGAAACCAGAATCCATGCTGCCCGTGTGACCCTAAAAGTCAGTCAGTTACTTAGTCTGTTAGTAATCGTAGTAATAAACCCCTCAAAGCTGTCCTAAGGATAAGTGAAAGAGACGGTGCCTAGAAAGGCACCGAGGCAGCTGCATGCATGTGGTCAAGGGAGGTCCTCGGAGCCAAGTTTCTGTCTTCATCTACTTTTCCTTCTTTTTCAAAAAGGCTTTTCTTCCTTTTTTTCCCTGAAGAGAAATTAGAAATATTTCCCTCTCTCTTTTTTAATTAAAGAAACAAATCATCTGCTTGCAGTTTAGGCTTTCACTGCAGGTCATATTGTTAGACTTGGGTCTTGCACCAGGTCCTCTACGTGATCACCCGGAGGGAACTCTTGAGGCCACAGCCCTCAGCCAGCACCTGACACCTCCGGGACACCGGACTGCTTCTGGGTGTGGCCCTGCTTGATCAGTGCAAACCGGCCCTGAACCGAGGACTTCTCTCTGTACTCAGAGTTGTTGAAAAGACAGCAGGACTAGGACAGTTTCAGCTCTGCAGAAACACCATGGAACATGCACTGGTTTTCATTTCTGTTTCTTTGGTAGGCGATGATCTGGGTGGAAAGTATGAACACATGTACAGTTTGTGGAAAAGCAGACAACTTTTGCTTTATTTTGTCTTTTTAAATGTCTCCTCCTTAGCACTGAATCTTTTAAAATTACATCTTAAGCTAACATTCATCTCTGTGTTGAATGGTCTTGAAAAAAACTCCCAGTGGTCTCATTTCATGCATCTGTGCAGAAAATAAACCACAGATCCTTCTCTTTGTGTAACCAGAAGTAAAGTGGTTCTGAACTGCAATACTTTATGAAGGACTGCATTAAATCAGAATTGCCTTTTAAAGCTCTGATCAAATGTTAATAGTGAATAGCACTGTTTCTGTAAACATATTTCCCTTTTTCCACGGAATCTGGGATATGGTGATAAAAGCATTAGCATTTTGCTAGCACTTTACAATTATTAGACCAGAACCTGTGGTCGTATAAGCTTCTCTCAGGGAGTTCATCAGATTCTTTTAAGAGAGTCATTTGAATTTTTAATGCCACAGCTATTTGGTATGCTAATTTTTTTGGTTAGTATAGTCATAACTAAATATGAATCCAAGGGTTCATAAGAAATACTCTTCCAGAGGAATTAACTTTCAGATATGGGGTTATTTCCTAGCAGGACCTAGTGCACTTTTTGCTATAATTCACATATCAGCTGTGAATGGTGGGCTGGTCTTTTGCCTGCTCTGGAAAGCACAATATTTGAAAAGCATCTGTAAAGAGGTAGGACTGAGAAGGTGGGTTTCCATGTTTAAATAATGATCAGGAGGCCACTACTTTAAAAAGGTAAACATACAATACAATTTTATCTTTTTTATTTTTTTGAGACAGGGTCTTGTTCTGTTTCCAAGACCAGAGTACAGGGGCGTGATCATGGCTCACTGCAGCCTCCCTCTCCCAGGCTCAAGTGATCCTCCCACCTCAGCCTCCCAGGTAGCTGGGACCACAGTCATGTGCCCCTACATTCAGCTAATGTAAAAAAATATATTTTTATAAAGACAGGGTCTCCCTGTATTACCCAATCTGGTCTCCAACTCCCGGACTCAAGCAACCCTCCCACTTTGGCCTCCCAAAGTGCTGGGATTACAGGTGTGAGCCACCATGCCCTGTCAAAATCCTGTACTTTTAAGTAAAGGAGGCATTTTGTGGCTAGGAAAAAAGACTCTGGAGCCAACAGATCTGGGTTTGGGTTCCTCTTCCTGGTTGTGTAAGCCTCATTTTTCCCTTCTGTGAGGAAGAGAGGACAATGATACTTATCTCCTGTGAT